GAAAAACGTGGACTTTGGAGCATTCTATTAAATGCTACTAATCTTAAGTTTAAAATAATTACAATCTACATACTTCATAATAAATATTTTTAGATGAATTATAAAAATTCTTATGCGTATACAGCCTACACACATTACATTACATTTAATTAATCCTAAGTTAATTTGCACTTTCTAAATAATACATAAAAGTATTAACAAATATCATGCAAATATATATTTGTGACTTATTTTCCTGTGACTTTTTTTCCTGTGACTTTTTTTTCTGTGGCTTTTTTCTGTGTTTTTTTTTTCCTGTGTTTTTTTTTTTTTCCTGTGACTTTTTTTCCTACAATCCGAATTTATAGTATGCGCTGGGTTTCTCAGCAAAGTGTATAGAAAATATCAGACGCTATATTTATGAAATAGGTGAAAGAATGCCTTTTGTTCTCCCACCCCCCCCCCCGTATCCCTTTTTAAAAAAAGCCGAAAGGGAATTAACTTTTCGAAACAAAGAAACGGTTTTGGAACAGATGTTTGAAGTTACTTGAACTTAGTTGATGCAATTTTCGTTTGTTTAGCGCCTAGGTGCCAAAATAATTGTGTTTGTTTAGATTTCTCAAATTGTATTCGATACTTTGGGTGATGGAGTTCTGCAGTTAAAAATGCGAGAATATGCAGAATGTTGTGTCTGCTGAAGTTTTGTAAGAGCCTGGCCCCCATGTTTAAGTAAATTCGTATAGTTGAAATAGAAACTACTTCTGACATTTAATAGGGTGCCAATGTTGAGGCTGATCGAATGAACGGTAGGATTAGTTTAAGTTTAAGATTTGTGTTAAGTATAGAGTTAAAGTTACTGATAGTGATAAATGTGGCCCAAAATAGCAATTAGAATGGGACCTGGGTTAGGGTTATTGTTAAGTGTATGATTAGTGTTAAGAACATAGTTAATGTTACAGATAGTGATGATGATAGTAATGTGGATTTAAAAATAGAAATTAGAATGTAACTTGGGTTAAGGTTATGTAAGATTAGGGTTAGAAATACAATTAGCGATATTTTCAACGTAACAAAAGTCTTCACCGAGCGGGCTATTTCGTTCAATGCTCGCGTCATTGGAAAGTACCGTTGTATTACCATGACTTATTCTTGCTAAGGTTAACGTTTTGTTTTATAAAACCGTCCTCGTAGTAATCCAACCAAAATGTCAACGTTTAAATGGGCGAGGAATGGGTGGGGACACGCCAAATGACGTAAGCAAGATTGTTCTAGAAATATCAGACTGTACCCACCCATGATTAACACTGTCAAGAAAAACCCATTAATTTTTTTATAACATTTTTGAACAATTTTTTTTTTATGAAACTTGGGCAATAGGACGAACCATTCTAGCTATGTGAACATGAACATAGGTTTTTAAAAACTTTTCTGGTAATGTGGTCGAGTAGTAGAGCACACGGGTCTTGACCCAAAAGACAAGAGTTCGAATCCGGCTTGCAGGAATTTTATGTGTCCACAAAACCTTTATTGATTCCTGAGTTTAGTCGGGACAAAGCATTGTCCGTCGTCATTCTTTTAACAGATAACAAGTCCGGAGTTCCAATCCGGGGCGGGTTTGTAGAACTGCATTGTGTCCATGTAAACTTCATCAATAGACGATTTCTGAGTTTGGTCGGGACAAAGAACTGAGGCTGGGCATTGTATTATCCGTCTCATGCTGTTATGAGATAGAAGGTCCCAAGTTCCAATCCGACTTGGGTGTGTGGATCTTCCGTGTATCCAGGTAACCGTAAGTTTTCTGACCTTCATCGGAGTAAACTACCAAGGCTGGATCTTGTGTTGCGTCATGTAGCTGTTCAATACAGATAGACACTACTTCAACTTACTGCTGTCCCTCGGTTAATACATGACAAGTCGCGCATAGGTGTGATGTTAGCGTGCTCTGTTCGTCTTGCAAAGTCACGTAAGAAAGTGAGTCATGACATCCAAAAATGACTCACGGCGTCAAAAAATCAGGTGCCAAAGATTCACATGGCTCGTCTTCCGTAGGATTAGTTTTGGTTTTAAAAATATAATTTTATAATAGAAAATATAATTGGCTTATATACAGATCGTGATAAATGTGTGTGTGTGGTTGTGTAAGCATATGGGTATAAAGACAAGTTAATATGTGTGTATGTGAGGGTCTTAATTTATATATGTGTGAAGATAGTTGTGATGAGTTTGAGTGTGTGTTGGTGGTGGGGGGGGGGAATGTTAAAGCAGCTATATATATGGGTGAGTCATTGTAGTAAGGTCTGATTATGCAGGGGCGTTACTGTATGTGTATGTGAGTTGTTGAGGTATGTGCACGCAAAGCAGTTAACATCACGTTTAACAGACGTAAGAGTATGCATGTGGGTGTGTGGAAGAATGTGTGAATACGGTCATGTATGTGGAAATCAAAAGTTAAGTGCTACGGACCTATCGGTCTGTGAGGTTGCGAATATAAATTTTATCTATGAGTAATCTGCAAAGTTGAGAAGTGCGGTCAAAATGCTGCCTTTAGAACCGGCTTTGACCCCAATCTAAACTAAAACTCCCAATTTAAAAAAATGGAGTTTTTTTTTTTTTTGCATCACTATGTGTGTTTGTGAGAATGGGGTGTTACTTCATATATTTTATGTTTACATAGAAATACACAAAAGAACTGAAATTATAGGCGCTGTTGTAAATAAAAAGAGACATTTTGTATAATCCAACCCTGTTAGTTTTAAGTTATGTCTAAACAGAAACCGCAAATCTATTTTAAAATCCGATAAATACTCACTCACAGTCGCACGTGAGATCCATCAGGGCGCCGAAAATCACGTGCAGTATTTCCGGTATGCTGTTGGCCACCCCCCGGCAGGTGTCGCCTCGTCTTGTACCCCCGCCAGGTGTCAGCATGTTTATTTGTTCCGCGCAGATAATCGCTGTACGATTCTCGCCTCCCTTTTGATAACTCGCTTCATTTATTTACTGTTACAATTTCAGTGGTGTGAGAGAGGTAAATATCTCGCCCATGCATCGCGAAAAAATATAAATACGGAAGTAATTTTAGAACAGCGGAGAGGGTATAAAAGAAATTTGGGGGATATTTTTCGTTGAGAAATTTCCTGCTTCTTTTTTTTTTTATTAATACGTATAACCAGAGGCGTAGCGAGGGGGGGGGGGGGGAGGGGGTGCGGACCGCACCGGGTGACACCATTTAGGGGGGGGGGGTGAAACCAAGGCAAAAAAATAGCAAAATATATAGAGAAAAACTTGACGGGGGGGGGGGGTGTGCAAATCGAAAGTTTGAGAGGGGGGGGGGTGCTAATCGAAAATTTGAAAGTTTGTCCCCGGGAACGGTCGCTACGCTTCTGGGGTTGACACCATTAAGTGCCGCAGCGGGTAACACCCGACCTCGCTACGCCACTGCGTATAGCATAGTTGAATCTATTACTTCCTAGTTTTCTCATTGGTTCTTCTTTCTTCTGGTTTAATTAATCACGTGACTGTTTTGTATAGTAATCATTCTTTGTCACACAATCATGGAAAACTGTTTGACAATACCATACAGACGCTATTTAATTGGCGTACTATTGTTTATCTTAATTTTAAAATATCTAACACAATTTGATGTTCAAATTGGCATGTTGTTAAAAATTGCATGAAGTCCTGTATCTATACGTTATTAAAAATATTTTGCGCTAGCAGTAGCCCTAATTGGAACCAGATAATTTGGTTATCATCAAATAAGATTTGTGGGGGAAAACATTTTGATTTATACGTTTCCGGAAAAAGCCGATGCACCAACCAATAAAACAATCGTCACATAACCCTTAATTACGATCGTTGGGGCACCACAGTTGATTTCTTCAGAATTCTCTCTCTCTCTCTCCCCCCCCCCCCCCCCCCCCCCCCCAATTTTTTGGTACTCTTGCTGCAATGAGAAGTTCTGCAAACGGGCAGCTCAGACCAATCTTTAATGTCCCCCATCCCCCTCCTAGCACAGTGCCCTGAATTCTTGTTTTGAATCGTTACTTATATTATATATATATATAGATATTAAGAGTTTATTAATATTTATTCTTTGTTATTATACAGAGTTTGTGGTGTTTTAGCTTTATTGTAATCTTAACCAGCGTAAAACAACACACAACATAAACATTGCAAAAGAAGGGGGACGAAACTCCCCTGAAGTCGTCTAACAACCAAAATGTTGTTTCAAGCCTTATCCTTTACCTCTGTTAATAACAGTAGCAAAACTTTCACAAAGAACCACAACTCGCTGGATCAAAGGACACGCCCATCAGTTAAGTATCCCCTTGTCCCACTAGCCCCAGTCAGAAGGTCGGAGGTTGTTCCGTGGGGGGAGGGGGGGGGGGGGTTACTTAGGTAGACGTCTGGTCTCGCCATGACGTGAATGACAAAGCTTTCAGACGTTGTCGCGACAAGCAGAACCGGATTAGATGAAATCAGACGTGGAAAAAATCTCTCTTAATGAGGGATGTAATTTTTGGATTTAGAGATGAAGACCCCTCCTCGTTTGTCTAACCTGTAATTGATGCAATGGCAAAGTTTAGCTGTGGTATCTATGGGATATATATATATATATATATATATATATATATATATGTATATATATATATATATATATATATATATATATATATATATATATATATATATATATATGTATATATATATATATATATATATATATATATGTATATATATATATATATATATATATATATATATATATATATATATATATATATATATATTTAGTTGATATGTTGACCAAATTGGCGTTTGTAAGTTATGTTGTCTTGCTTTGGAGAACTTAGAATAAATAGCGCTTTGTTTGAGAACTCTCTCTCTCACTCTCTCTCTCTCTGTATATATATATATATATATATATATATATATATATATATATATATATATATATATATATATATATATATATATATACATTACATAACTTTTATCTTGCTTGTCGTCTTTTTCAGAATTCTCAGTAAGCGACACCTCACCTGTCTGTCCAGAAATACGGCCTGGGGGAAGATGACCTTCCGGGTAAGTTTTAGTATTTAAACTAGTTCTAGTTGACAAGTATCCATACAAAAAAATATAGCAGAATATAAAACAGCCTGACGACCGTTTAGTCCAGACTAGATGTCCTGTTGGCGGAGCCGGTACTTTCTGGTACCGGGACAGAAATTCTAATATCTCTGCCATATCAAACCTGGCGATATAAAATTTGGTGAAACAAATTTTGGACCTCCTCGGTATTCACAGATGCTGGTCTTTTGATCATCAGGGTTCAACCTGAGCTGGCATAATAAAAATGTGAATTT